AGGCAGTGAGAAGCAAAGGTACGTTGGAGAGCAACTAAAATCTGACTGATTTCCATCTTTGGAGCATCAGATGTATTCCCTAAGGAGGATGGGTCTCCGTGATGGGGGTGGTATAATTATGTTAATGTCATATTTATGGAGGGGTGAGATTTTTCATTCTAATAATTGGTTGAATGCTGTGGTCAAAAATTGTAAAGCCATATTCAGTTTTAAGGAAAAGCATGGACTTATATCTCAGGACTGTTTTATTTTTTGCTTTTTGTAAGTGCTGCTTTTTTGTTTGATTTTTTAAAAACTATTTACTATTTTAAGCCATAACTGATTCAGTATGGAAAATCAAATGATAAACAGAAAGAGATCTTATATAATGATGCATTACATCATGGAACAGAATATTTAAAGTCTTGCAAGGCAAAGTAAAGATCTGGACAGAGGTTGGGGGTGGGGGTTGGGGTTGGAAAGGGGTGTGGTACTAGGGTGGAGGAGGGGGGCCAGTTAGCAAATATTTTGTTCAGCATAGCTTTCCTTGCAGCTTACTTGGAAATGGATGATTCACCTGTTCTACAGGAAAACATTCTAATTCTTTCCGTTTTTTTTTTTTTTTTTTCCTCCTCTTTTCCCTTTTAAGATCAACCACTTCAGAAGAACCAGATTCCACTTCTGTGGCCAGGACTTTTATGTTATGGCTGGTCCGATTGTTTTACCCTTCGTTCTATGCTACTAAACCTTGGATCACTCCTAAAGTACAAAATCTGTTCTCGAACCACAAACAAGGCTAAAAGATCGGAGGAAATTCAGTGAATATACAGGATTGGGATTGTGCATTTTCAAAAGTATTGAGCTTTCTAATGCAACTATTTAAGATATAGAATCATTTTTTTTCTTACGTTACCAGCATTTTAAGTTACATGTTTATTAAGTGGCATTGCTCAAATAGCTACAGAGTATGCATGGAAATATTTGCTGTCTGAATAGTATGGAGATTCAAAGAGAAAAATCAAGCTTCAGAGGTATTAATTATGACATGCAAAAAAAGTTTTTGTTTTAGTCTTAACTGTAACAGTATATATTTAAAACAGATTTAAGGTGTTATATGTCCTGGGCCCACCTTAACAGTTCTGCTGTTTAGAAGTGTAATGGGAAACAAAATTTCAATCAGGGTCCCATTAACTGGGATATAATCCTTCTTTGATGTAATAGAGGCTATGATGTTGCTGTACAAGTCTGCTAGAAACAGATTTTAACCCATTTTAGTTTCTTTCTTTCTTTGGATCTAATGTAATGACTCTTAACTGTTCATTGTTTGCATTGTTTCTCATATTCTTCATTTTTTTAAGGTCTGGAATTGCTCTGTAAATGGTCGTCGTGAATATTCAGCTCATCCTAACTTTTATGTATCATTTATATTTCTACGTATGTATTTTAATTAGTATTTATAGGAAAAAGTTTAACTGAACCCAACTGTAATTTCTAAGCTTATAACTGGAAGAAGAATTCTACTGCATCAAACCAGACTTTTCCTAGTCCCTGAGACCCTAACTTGTGAGGTATTTTAGTAACATCACAAGTCAGGCTCTTGGGACCTAGGCGGAGGGGAACCAGCAGCTTTGGACCTTATTGATTGTCTGCAGTTACCACCAGAACAAAAGAACATACATAGATTCTGCCTAGAAGAAAAGAACAATGCTCTTCTTTATAATCAGCGATGTTTTCACCATGACCCACCCCCCAAAATACTATTTTCAGCAACTGTACTCTAAAGTGATTACAGAGTTTCACTGAATCGCATTTATATTATATTATAATGACCGTATAAAAGCAGTATAAAATAGCTGGGTAAGAAACAAAATTAAAATATAAGTGTTTTTAAATTGCTTCCTTTGGTATACTTTAAGGTGGCTGGTCTAAGAAAATACCTCCTTCGTTAATAATGAAGAGAGTGGTTTATAACTTTTTTTCATATGCATAGAATATTTACATTATCTACTTAAATAAAACCTATATATCTCCACGTAACTATGGCTCAGAATATGTACTATATAGCTATAATCATGCTTGAGGCCTAGAAATAAAATGATTTACAGTTTTTTTTAACTGACCCTATTAAATTTTACTACTAATTTAAGAAGAATGCTGCTTTATAATTGGTATTTATTGTCAGAGTATTCCTTAGTTTTTTAACCAGGCAAAATACTTTATATGTCTTTTTATAATAAGACATTCTCTTATAAGAGTTTAAGTGAGAGTTATAAATAATTAGCAATAATATTGTACATTTTAGTTTTTATATTTTAGTTTGTATATATCATGGAACTGTGTGAGATAAATTAGTAAACACCACCTATGAAGTCAGACTGTTCTGATTCATCTATCAGCTGAAACTGAAATGCATATTTTTATAAGAATTTTAGTTGTATAAGAGGTACCTATTCCAACTATAGCTAATATGTCATATTTGAACATTATTAGCCATTGACACAGCAAATATGTATTTTTTAGAAATAGAATCAATATATTAAATCTATTTTAAAATTTTACAATAATGTTACAGATATTAAGATTCAAAATGGATATGAGAGACTCTATAATAGAAGAAACAAAGCAATTTCACTCTTTTAATTCTAATGCTTTACATGGGTACTATAAATTTATGTATTCTGCATTATTAAAATAAATTTATGAATGTATTTTAGAATACTTTATGGAGTCTTTGTTCACCTTGGATGTGTTACAATTACTTATGACTTGAAATATCACAGAATACAAATAACCCATGAATTATATTTCTTAAAAAATTGGCATTACAAAATTATAAACACAAGGCACATAGAATAGGTTTAAGTACATACTCACACTGTACTTATTCAGATTATTTACTTATGTCACCTATTTAATATCTCTAGAATCTCTGAAATTTTAAGTGTGTGCATGTATGTATATAGGCATATGTTTTAAATAAATGAAAGGAGGTAATATAAACAGTAAAGATTTTTGGTAGTATTTATCTTTTACTTCTTTTATCTTCATTATTGTAATTAAACATTTTTCAAAGCATAATTTTCTCAATACAAAGAACTCTGTATTTGTTTAAATAGAAGACTATGTATATACAAGTACACAGAAACTTGATTATATTTAATAGCAATGTTTATCCAATGGATCAGTAACTACCTCTTATATAAAACAACAGATACATGTTTACAGATGCCTGTTTTAACATAATTATGTATAATATATGTAACATGTTCCATCAATTTAATTCTAAAATAATGTAGAGGATAGATGTTTATTGGCTATATGATATTAGCTATTTCAAACACGGTATTTTCTTTTTACATTATCATATTTATGAACCACACTATATATTAATTTCTGTTTCATAGAAGAAAGGTACCAAAGCTGAATTTAGAATGCAGTGATGTTTATTTCTCTCTCATAAACATATATAAAATATGTATTTTTTACTAATCATATATGCATTCTTTGAACCCTTTCTGTGTAACTTTTCTATATATAAACTGTCTTTTCTGAGAGTATCATTGATAAAGCATTTCTCTCCTTCCATAAAGGTGAGTAAAAATATAAATGGGTGACTTTGTTTATATAAACTTCTTTATGCTGTATCTAGATAGATGAATGACACTTTTTCTGCATTTCTATCGTAGCTGTCACAGGATAATATTGTTTTGAGGCTGTATAAAATGATTTGGAAAATCAGATCATACTAAGCTTAAAATAAAAGGAGAGATCTACAACAAAGAGCGAGGAAATGATGTGTGTTGCATACAAAAAAAGCAGTGATATTAACAATTCGATGGCTTCCTGGTTGGGAGACCAGCCTGAGCCAGACGCATATATTAAGGTCTGTCTGCTCCTGATGCAAGCTTGCTCAATGCGGTGGAAATGAGGAATCACCCCCTCTGACACCAGTTTATTTTTACATTTTAATTTTGAAATAGCAAATCACTGTTTTACATATGTATACTAACCCCTGCTTGATTCTTTTCCTTTCTCACATTGTTTGCTAATTTACTATGAACTTCAAGTTCCTTTTTTTTTTAATATCATTACTCACCTCAAACATCTATCAAAGACCAATGAAGTATGAGTTTATCTTTTGTCTCTTCTGTATTGCTCTGTTAATATTGTGATGCTCATGCTTTTAACTATAAATCTTTGAGGAAAACATCAATTTTCCAAAATAGTATTTTTTTAAAGCCTTTTAGGATCCATCAAGGAAGCTACTTCTGGAATTTTGCCAAATCTAAATACGATTATATTTCATTTCAGGATTCATGGGATCAATATCTTTCTTAGTTTAAAAGTCCTTAACACTTTAGTGTTCCGGTGAAGGTACGGAAGAGGTGTGGAGAGATTCTAAAGTCATTTAAGCATTAGGCCACGTTAATAATGTCTAAGAGTGGTATAAGTATCTCAGGGGAATTATAGTACAAGTTAATTACTAATGAAATTAGAGAAAGTATATGCTACCTTAAATTCCTCTTCAAAAGGACATGCTGAATTTACCTGATAAATATGTCAGTGGTTTTGCAAGCTGTCCTATTTAAATGAATTTCAAGAAGAGCAGCACATAAAGGGTTAGCTAACGCCCAAATTTTCTTGCCATTTACACATGCAGTGCAGCCTACATTTCTGTAGGCAGCAAATGCAGGCATCATTTTGATTACTTGGATTATTTTCTCTAATTTCTTCCTATTCATTTAATTTAGCACTCACGTCCCAGTGATCTCTTAATGATGGTATTTGGAAAGGAAATCAAATTTCCTGATAGAAGTTGAAAAAAATCCTGGGCTTCTGTAAGCATTTGAAAATATACTTTTTAGTGTAGCTTTGCAACTACATACTACTTACTAAGTAGAAACTCGGGTGATATTATTATATCATATCCATATTTAGTTTTTCTGATCTGTCAGTGACTAAACACACACCGAGACATTTATCATAGACAGATATAGATAGGTAGATGATTGATAGACGATAGATAGGTAGATGATAGATCTTTATTTTTTAAAAAGTCTTAGTAAAAACAGTATAAAAATTGAGACATCATCATAAAATTATTCACGTAATTTTTTTCAGTGAGCTAGCTTTAATTTTTATTGAATGTTGCTTTTTCTCCCCACATCTTCCCACATTAAATATAGCTGTATCAAATGTAAATTATTAGCCAATGATAGTAACTTGTAAGTGATGGTTTTTACTTGCGGAAGTTTAAAAACAGGTGAAACCGAAGGTAATTGAGATTAAGTGAATTTAAGATTAGTTTTATTTTATATAATTAGTCAGCTAATTCCAAGCATATTTTATGGAGAATTTAAAAGTGAAAAATTCTCATATGGTGAAGTAAATTTTTCATTGTTGATATAACTAATGTGATTTTAATTTCTTTACCTTAATAATTCCTAATCAAATAAAACAATTGTAAGAATAATCATGGATCGTCAACTAATCAAGATAATAATTCCTAGGTTGCATCTTGGGCTTTTACGGTTTTTGGAGTGTTTAGGTTCTTTTATGAGATGGATTTAACCATTCTTTTTTTCTAAGAAGTTTCTCCCTCTCTGTTGGTAGGTGTCTGATGATTTGTGAGCACCAAGTGACTATTCTGTGGAATCATCTTTCCTTGCCTTTGAAATAGCTTTCCCTAGACCATGAGTCACCATCAATATTTTATTCATCCGAATTGGTAGGTCTTTCTTAAAACCCTTCTGTGTATTTTTCTGGTCATGTGAGTGAATCATGAGAAATTGTAGATTTGCATTGTGATTGTCTTTCCAGTTTCCAAACATCTTCAGTAAGAGATTCAGGTGGTGTTGAAACACTAGCCAACAGAAGCATTTGGTTTTGTAGGATTTAAAAATGTAATGTCTTTCTCATAGTAGACTTTCTATTCTTAGCAAGGCTGGGGGAACTAGGCCATGGCTAAGTTATTACTCTGTTATACATCACACGAAAAGCCCAGCCCATGCATTTGTAAACCTCAGGGAGGTTTCTATATTAGACAGCATTTTTTGTTGGGGGATTACACCACAGTCGGTTCCCTTCACTTCTCTCTCTCTTCCTGGCCCCCCTCCACCCAACATGGAGCCTTTTCAACTTCTTCAAAGAAATAGGGAAAAAAAGTAGACTCTTTATTAATGGCAGAAAACAAACTGGCTGCTGGACTTCCGAGACAGCCTCCTAATAATAAAGCAGAGTAGGCACTGCGACAAAGAATTCTTGAATGTACTAAATATATAAGGAAGCCTATTTAAATTCACCAGAGGGGCTTAGAGGACAAGCAGCAGAAAGTTTAGAATTCAATTCAAGCCATGCCAGAAAATGAAAATGTACTTAAAAAAGGATTTCTGAAACAATTGTTCAAAGACATGTCAACTTTTAAGATTCTTTCTAGAATAATGAAATTCGTACTCTAATTTCTGTGGTGACTTTTTCAATTAGAAAGGAAAAATGATTAACAGAATCTCAAAGGAATTGTTATCTTATGTTTAAAGAAAATGTGTTTCCTTCTATAGAGTATGCTCTAGTGAGGGCCACTTAGTGCACTGACTAAAATCACCCCAATATAGATACAGGACAAAGAGATGATATTTTTCAGCAATTAGACATATCATAAGCAAAGGACTCTTCCTACTTTGGAAGAAAGATACTCAACTTGTATGTTCTTCCTAGTTAATTTCCTCCCAATCAATTCTATAATTTGTATTTTAAATAAATGCAATGACGTAATTCTGAAAGAGCAAATTGCTGATAATAGGACTATATGATGCTAAATTTAAGAGAGAAAAAAAAAATCCTTACTTTCTCTCTTGTTGACTTTAAAAAATGCTCTTTACCTTTATCTATAAGATATATCTCTATATGGAGTAACCACATCTATAAGAATATATATCTTATTAGTCCTAATATTGAGGTAAAGAACTACTTAAAAAGTTTATTTAACAGCCAGTATGGCCTTGACTCAGGGGTGAAATTTCTAGCAGGCTTTTTCCTAATGTCTTCTTTTAGAATTAACATAGATATTGGGAAAAGGTTGTCGTTTTTTGTCTCAGTGATTACAAGTCATAAAGAGGATGGAATCTTGAACCCACTACTGACATATCTTTATTGCCATTGTGGAGAGCTCCAGCTTGAGAATGAAGCCCACGTGTAATTCATCAGTCCAAAAATATAATTTATTAACTCAAAATAATTTGTTGATTTATTAATTCACCTATTCATTCACAAAATGAATATCCATCATAAAAACTCAGTGAATTAAGGCTGCATCAACACATGGGGCCCATATGGCCAATTAAGACTTGATCATTTAACAAAATTTTATTGACTTTAAAATGAAATGTCAGATATATGAATATTAGTTATAGATTTTAAATATTTAATGATAAAAGGTAGTTATCACTACAAATAGATGCAACCTTTCATCGTAAATGAGTCATCATTTACCAAATGATAAATGAGTCATCATTTACCAAACAACTGAACTGATTTCCATTTGCTTAAAAGTCTTAATGACATTTTAATATCAAGGACTTCAGTAGACTTAATGATTGATCAATGAAATAAGCCAAGTAAATTGCTTAGCCTAATTTCTAGCACCAAGAAAGCACTCAGTGAATATTAGCTTATTTATTCCTGTTTGGGTCTTAGTATTTATTTGCCTTTGTTAAACAGACTATTTTTTCATCACCAAAATTTACTGTGTATGCACTGTCCCAAAGGATGTAAGGAAGTCACCATTAGGAAATCATTTCCGCTCCAGGTGCACTCAAAAATCATTCACACTAAAAGTCTTTATCAAATGTTTCCTGAGAGCCAACTGTAGGAGAGAAAAAGAGAAATTCTGCTCTCAGATAGTTTGTGATCTACAAAAAGATATCTTCCGCTGTTCAACACGTTTTGCCTTTTTGTGTGCCTTAGCATTTTATAAATCCTGTAATTTAGCAGTTTTAGTCTTTTATATGTTTTATAGATAACATTCTATGTGGTTTGTACTATTTTTCTAGTTGCAGATGAGATACTCTACCTATATACTTTGAATTGTCTTGGACAAGATATGGGTCGGGTATTAGTACTTTGCAATACTTAGATTCTTCATATTATTCCCTATATTACACGAAGGTCTTTAAAAACCATAAATTGACAAAGAATATTAATAATTGTGGTTTACAAAATTGGTATTTCCAGAATTGGACCAAAATGTGGTGTATACATAAGATTTCTATTCCTCGAAAAAAAGAAACCATCATTTAATTTTTTTTAAGTTAAGTTGAATATAATAATTTTGATCATGCAGTTTCATGAAGTGGGATTAACATTAATTAGTCAAAGGTCCAAAACATTCTAATTAGGTTATTCTCTGGGAGTTAACAAAATATGCAGAATAAACTTGAATTTTTAGACTTTTGCATCATAAATGCCATCATTGAACTTGAACAGTGAAGTAGGAAGTAGAAGACTGGAATTTTAACACCATTTCTGCTGCTAGTTACCTTGTGGAAGTGAACCTCTGTCTTTTTCACTCCCAATTTACAACTGATTTGCAAAATATGGATGTGGTGGAAGATGATTTTAAAGTGACTTTAAAATCAGATAAAAAAAATAGTAGTATTAGAGAGTTGGATATTTTGAGTCAGTAGGGGTATGAAGAATATCCTTAGTTTAAATCACTTAATTAATTAGACTCTTCTATCACTTCATCCCCTTCCTCCTCCTCCTCTTGCTTCTCCTCTCCTTTTCCACCCTGGTCCTGTCTCCTCCCCGCCCCCCACTCCCACATCTTTCTACCTCTCCGTATCTTTCCCTCTCTCCCTCTTACTTTATTCTCAGGTGGTTCGCTTCATTCTCACGTTCTTTCTCTATGTTGGAAAAAAATGGCCACTGGCAACTGAGACATACATCATGTATCATTCCTAGAGCTTGTGATTCCAGAAGGAAAAATAAAAAGGTTCTCTCTACCTATACATCAGTTGCATTTCTCAGAAGGCTCTGATTGGCTCTGTTTTCCAGACACTTCTCTGTCCAGATGTGAGTCACTTAGATTAAACAGCCCTTGTAGGGAGGTGGAACAAGGTTAACCTAACAAGGTTAATGTTAATGGCAGAAGGTGAAAGAATTTCAAAGCAGGCAAAAATGTAACAGGGGTCCAAACAACCACTACAAATGTCTAAATCATTTAACATAATGACATGTTACAGGCTTCTGTCAAATATGTTTGTCTTAGGAAACTGAGTGTAGTCTATCAACATGTAGGCAATATTAAGTTATTTAGCCCAAATATGTTTTATATACAGCATTGTAACTACAAAATATCTGCAACAGCAAATCTCAACCTTGAGTATCATGGAGATTTATTGCATTTTATTAACATTTTCCATGATTATTTACTATGTGGCATGCATCAGGAAAGTCAGCATTTGGACTCATTTAGGAATTTGACATTTTCAGAATTACTTAGGATTATTAGAAATGAGAGTTTGGTACAGAAGGGATGGTGATGTAATGTCCAGTGTCTGTCCTCATCCACCATATGGTTAGGCCCTTGTGTTACAGCAAATCTAATGTCCTTTCCACTTTTACCCCTGATATTAAGGAGCATTATATTTATGGTTCTTGAAAATATTTTATTTTGGTTTGTGAATTAATTTCTTCCATTTCTACTATCTTTCACTATATGTATGTATATACACACATATGTATATAATAGTATCTATTATATGATTTTATATGATTAGGATATCAGATCCTTATCCTTTTTAGGCCTGTTGTTTATTATGATATGACCTACACAATTTTAAACATTTTACTATCTAGAACTATTTAGGGATCTTCCTCGATGAGAAAAAGATTAATTCGCTATGAATAATGATTCTAATACAAGACATTCTGCTGCGTTTTTTTGTGATGCAGATGAGCAATGCTATAAATATGATTTAGAGAGTTTGAAAATTGATTTTAACATCACAATTCTTCTTCCTAATTAATCAAATTACAAAATTATGCTGTGGTTTCCAGTATATTAAAATAAGTTGTCATACTGGAACATCTGTTTATGCTCCTATTATGCATATGTGTTTCTAATTGTCTGAAGTATAGATTGCCATAAACATTATTTGTTATTTAGTATGTGGAAGCATGATACCTACTTCCTCCCACAGCGCTTATTTATTTCCCGCGAAGTAAATCTTTTAGATTGTATTTTATCATATCTTTATCAAGATGGAGGAAAAAAGACTAGGATTTTAGTTAAGCCTTGCTGATTGGTTAAGAAAAGTGATGGCTGTCATCGGCAGCCTTTCCAGGCACTGTACGGTGGCTCCAGACAGTCAGCTGGTACTATCGCTTTGTCTTAACTATAAATCACTGTCTCATAATGGCCAAGGCTGACACCTTGACATTTTCAAGAAGAGTAAAAAACCTGATTTGAATGGAAATCAATTTCGTTTCACAAATCTTGGGTAACTACACCAAGTCTTTTCTAGTGTCTTCTTGAAACTTATTTGGGATTTTCATGGTCATCAGAGGATTATTTGAGTGTTATCCTATAACTTCTTTTAGCTATAAAACCATATTCTTACTTCCTTCTTCAATCTCAATGTGGAAAAATTGATTTTAAAATTTTATATGAGAATAAACCACCAATAAGCCAGATTTTATTTTAAACATGATGTGTTGATAGCTTAAAAATATGGCAATAGCAGCAACTGCTATTTCATTTCACAAAATTTTTGCAAAGTGTTCTGTGATTTAAAATTCCAAGCCATACATGTGCATATTGAACCTAACTTTTGATTATCTAATAATACCTAATGCCAATTATGGAGTGATTTCAAACTTCAAGTAGGTCTCAAGCCTAGAATCCCCTGAAAGGTATTTTATTTTATATTCTTGCACATAAAAACCAGGTTTAGTATTCTAGAGTCAATGAGGAATAGCATGTATTTAATTGTGTTAGATGGGACAAAAATTAACTCTGCCTCCATTTTTTTGACCATTCAACCCAAGTGGCATAGAAATAACTCCATGCTTGACAGTGTGAAAAGTTCTTTTTAGGTATTTTAGGAGCTTGACATTGAAAATTTTAAAAAATTAACCTACTCTATTAGGTCTTCCACCTTTAGGAAAACACTACAGTTTCTTTAAAAAAAAAAAAAATAGAGTGGAAGAAACTTCTACTTCCTTAGTATTTTTGCTTGCTTCCTTTTACCAAAGTGATTTAAACTCAGGGAAGCCTTAGATCTTCTCAACATAATTATTTTTGGAGAATTTGGTCATCACCTTCTCTGTCTTGTCAAGTATGGAAAGATTACCACAATGCCTGGCAGTGATTTCTTTTTTATTATCTTTGTTGTTAGTCTTCAACTGTGTCCCAAATCTCACTTCTAAACAGGAATACTCTTTGATTGATAAATTTATTTTTTTAAAGTACCCCATGAACAAGTGGAGTTAACAATTACAAACAGGAGACTTCTAACCGTTAAATCTTTTTATCCACTCTTCTACTCATCCATCCATTCATTCATAATCTATACAAAACCAGACATTATGTTAGATATGCCGGAAATACAAAATGATATTAGAATTCTTTCTTCACAGAACATGATGTTCTCATGAGAAAATAGAAGAAGTAAAAAGAAGTTATCAAGTTCAGATGTGACGGAAAGAACATATAAACACAATGTTTTGGGATTCTAGAGGAAGTATTTACTTGAGTGGTTGAGAATCAAGGAAAATTCCCTAGAAGAGACTGAATTCAGCTAGTCTGTGATAGAGGAGAAGGGTTTCTAGAGAATGTCGGAAGGGCTGGGTTTCGAGTGAAGTATGCAATGTGTACAGATGTGCAGGAGCAGGAAAGTTGAGCCGTTTGGCATTCAATATTCTTGGAAGATTGGGTGCATATTATAAAATGCCTATTGAACTGAGATCAGCTTAAGGAGGCTCTACAGTTTTCACAGGGGCTCTTCTGATATTTGTGTGTTTTACAGTGTGTTTGGCACTGAGAACCCTTTAAAGACTTTTGGGCTGATGCAAGAATGTTAGATGCAAAATTACTCTGGAGTCATTATAATGTAAGACCTCAACCTAGAGGGACATATCAGAACTACTCAACAAGGCATATAGAGACACACAACTGTCTCTACCCTGTAAATTCAAACTCAGTAAGTTTGGAGTAAAGCCCATGCAGATGCATTTTGTAAAATCTCAGTCAGATGATTGACTGACACTCCATTAAGAAAGAGTTAGAGCATGTTGAAATGAGATGATATCAAGGATAATTAGACACAGAAAAAAAACAAAGAAAATGAGACCTAAATCATGGGTTCCGAACCCAAAGTCCACATACCCCTAGCCTTTTGAGGTTTCATGTTCCCATGAGAGTACATGAAATATTTTGAGTAGATATTTATTTTTCTGGAGGAAATGATCTAGTAGTATTTATAAGATTCTCAGTGAAGGCTAAAACCACCCCAAAATTAAGAACCACTAGGGATAGTTAATGTGAAAAGGAGGAGGTAAATGTGAGAAATATCACAACTGTATAATTAAGAGAATTTAATGACTGAGTAGCTTGCATGGGGAGTTTACAAATTGTGGCAAGAAAAAAAGAAGATGACACTAATTTTTTTTTTTACCTTTTGACACTAGAAGAACGAGAATCATAATCTTTTGGGGAACCAGCATCAGATCCCCCTCGGCTCCTATTTCAGGTAATAGAACTTTGATATCAGGCATATTGGATTCGTGGTATGAATGTGACACCAGAAGTAGATGTCACATGAGGAATGGAAAATTTGAAGGTGGTTACGTAGCTTGAAAATCATTCTCATGGAAATCTAGCTCAACACTTTGAAGTCAGGGACCTAGGATTCTTCCACCTTGTTTTTCTCTTTGAATGACTTCTATTCCCCAGGTAATCTCAAGACATTGGAGCTCAACCATGTTGTTTACTTTCAGTCAGTAAGAATAAGAAGAGAAAACTAAGGACACGATACTTCTTTTTAAAGAAGATTTCTGGAATTGTTACACCCCTTCCAATATAGCCTTATATCTTAGTTACCAGGTACACAAAGCTTTTGGGGAGTGGGTGCATTGAGTTTATTCTGGATAGTTGAGCACCCAGCAAACAAAAACAGGAAAAAGGGGAGACTCGATATTGCAGAAAAACAAGCAATCTCTGTCAAGGTGAACATAAACGGTTTTAAAGCACTCAATAATTAAACGAAACTATAAAATAGGGAAATTTTATCTGAACCTTCAGTCTAAATAATATATTTTGATTGGAAAGAAATAGACGTTTCTTTATAACATCTTTTTATCGAAACATATCTCATTTCACTCCTATCTTTGTGATTTATATCCTGAAAATACTGGAGTTCTTCTATGTGTGACTGGAAAAGTAGTATGACTGGTTACAAATGAAATTAAATCTATTAGTCTAATGTCATTAAACCTACTAGTCTCAAACCATTTTAAGCCAGTTTAAGATATTTTCACATTATTCTACAGAAAACTAGTTTATTAACAAAATAATTAAGCCCTTCTTCACAATGGTATCAAGTGTTCATTTTATAAAATTAGAAATTTCAGACAAATAGAAAACCCCCCAAAATATTAATCACATCACTCAAAAAATAACTTCTGTTATATAGTATATACTCATTCCTTCTCTCTCTTTCCCTCTCTGTCTCTGTCTCACTCACACACATACATATACTCAATATTTTCAGAATTATTTGTAACTTTTTAAGTTACAAATGAACACTTTCTCACATATAATCATTTTGGCATATGCTCATTATGTTATTGTGTGAGTAAAATATAATTTATTTAACTAGTCTATATATAGGTGTAAATTGATTTTCTTGCCATCTTTTTTTCTTAATATAAACAATTCTGATGACGAATGCACTTTTATAAAATTATGTATAATGATTCCCTTGGGATAATAATTGGGACAGATGATAATGGCCTGAATAAAGGTGAAGACAGTAGAAATGGAAAGACAAGGAGGGATTGGAGAAATATTTAGAAGACAGGATTGATAGAGCCGAGTGATTAGGAGCTTAGTGGAAAAATATCTGAAAATTTTAAACTTTTATTATTTCCTGAAATTATGCTTGTTGCTTTATTTTTCTGTACTCGTGATCAGTGGCATCTATTCCTTTAGTGGGAGGACAGACCCAATCAAGAACAGAGTCAATAGAAGATTTAAAATGCCTAGTAAATTATTTTTTAAAACTTATAACAAGTACAGTTAGTAGCTCAAAGCAAACTGTTCTGATTTTGAAGAGCTAGACTCTCGAGAGGGAAATGGTTTTGTTTTTAATTCCTAAAGGGCAAAGCCGGAAATAATAACCCAATGCTAGACACCTAGATCATAGAATTTATAAAATTTAACCATAAAGTAGAGAACAGTTCAGAACATGAGCTAAAGTAGCTGCCCATCACACAGGACAGATTGCATCTTTCTAGGTTGTTTGTAGTGAAGCATCTGAAGTGGAAGAGGGAGGGGAAGAATTAGATAAAGAGAAGGAATATCACCTATTCTGCTCCTTTTGTTGCAAATTCTGGAAGAAAGATGTGGGTAACAGATTCCTGTCAGGTGAGAATGAAGCGATAAAGGCCAACAGGGATTGTGATTCCTGCCCACCTAGAACCTGGAGGAGAGGCAGCTTTGTAGATGCCTGTAAGAATATCAAGGGGAGAACTAGAAAGCATCTGAACTAGTACCCTTCCCTTCCAACCTTCAATCGATCACGCGCCCCACCCCCAAGAAAGCACTTCAGCAGGGCATGGAAGAGATCTGGAAAAGTTTCCTTGTCTTCAGTCACCATCAAGGAGATAGCTGGGAAAAGGTGGGGGATGCTGTGGAGTTTCAGAGGATCCACATCACCACCTAGAACCAAGGGTAGGGGTTTAATCAGCAAGACAGCTTTTTTCTCCTTTTATCTTGGTCTGTAGCAGACACACCCATTTATTCAGTCAGTCAACACATCGAGTACTTTCCATATGGCAAGCAGATAATTTTAATCTTGTAAACATCACTTTCATTTGTAAACTTGGTTTCAGCTACAATTTATTTTATTGTATTTGTTTAATGTTAATTGAACATAACAATGTCTTTATACTGGATGGAGCGTATGCTTCACACAATTCTTATTTCTGGGTGGATATTAGAATTACAATTAGAAATAAAAAAAAAGTACACACATAAACACACCTACTCACAGAAATATAGGAAAGATTGATTATGATAAAGAAAATGTAATGGAAGGATTTAGAAAGATTATGCTTTGTAAAATCATATCACAGTTCTTCAAAATCATTGACTAAAAGAACATCATGAGAAAAACGATATTTTTTTGTTTAGTGCTTCTAATACCTTTTCTGGGAATTCAAATGGAACAGAGAATCCAGTGAAATCTGGTGCTTTGCATCATTATTAAGCTTATATCTGCAAGTTAATCATGTGTGATAAGGCTAAAATGTAAAAGCATTTGAATCGATAGCTCTTTCAGATGCTTTTCTGATAAAATTGTTTCCTTTTCTTTTCTAATTAATTCATGTAAGTGGAAAGATTAAGGAAAAAAAAAAACTTATTTATGTTAGGAGTAACAGAAACCAAACAGTGTATTAGACTCTATTGTTTGCATCTTTGCAACCAATAAGACCCTTTTAATAATCAGATCTCAGAAACATCTGTCTTAGAAAGAGGTGTACTTTCTGGCTTCCATTTACTTGAATCAAGTTAGGGTCATGAGCAGAGGTTAGGTTACTTCTACCTGGAAATGAATCAGAAAATTTATTCTGCCCTTTGATGTTGCTTTTCTGTTCCTTATGCCCCTCCCCACCCCCTTTTAGTTTCTTAAAATCCTAAAACTCCCTTTCATGTATCGTGGTTATTTAAAGGAATTTGAAGTTGTGGATTTCTATATTTACATATTTATGTACTGAAAACAATAGGGTAAGGTAAAATGTTTTTAAAAGGTGTAACTTCTTAAAGGAAATTCACAGATACCATAAGGAACTCTAATATGTTGGCAAATTTCAGGTTAAGGTTTTAGTGATATTTCTGTTAGAAGAAACCTAGTTTCCATTTTCTGTTTTCTCATTTGCATTACTGCAGTTATTCATGCATATGAAAAGGATATTATTCATCTCCATATTCCTTAATCTCCATATCCCTTCCTCTCCATATTCCAAACTCAATGTGTTTATAAGTTATACATAAGAAACACTGCTATAGCTATATATTTATACATATATCTATGTGATTCAAATTTAGTATTACAACTGGATAGCAAGCCCAATTGATAACATTAAATGCTAGATGTGTCTTATTACATTATTAGTGGCATATCAAAATTGTCAGATATCTTCAAATCCAATAATTGTAACTGACAAGCTTTAGCATGATTTGTCTTCATTGGGAAAAACTGAAAGAGAGCGAGAGAGAGAGAGCGAGAGAGAGAGAGAGAGAAATGTACTTCTGAATTCTCCTCTAAAGGCATTTTACATATGGAAAGCTCTTGTTTCTTTTGCAAATATTTTAGGGAGATACTGTTTTTACTGTATTCATGGTAACTGGCTATTGAAGTTTTTATGTGCATAAGACATATCATCCTCTAAATTCAGAAATCCAGTGCTTTCCCAAAAAGAATTACAAAGTTTAATGGGCAAGAAGAAAAATGACCATATAGCCCAGCTTATCTCCTTCTAATGTTTGATTTTTCTCAACTCAGTATTCCAAGAATTTATTTCACTTGAAAGTTTAGGCAGAGTTCACAATGAAAAATTATTCTCCCTCTGCATTTCTAATCCTACCCCTTAGAAAAGCAAATGTTATTGCTTAATTCCCAAAAGTTTTCTCTCAAAAATATCTCAGAATTTGGGGATAAGAGGAAAATAGGATGACAATGAATTTTATGGACACGGAACTCATTCATTACAATAATGAGGTATCAAAAATCCCCACCCTTTGTGTCCTGTTTTATCTGTATTTGGGGATGACATGGAGGAGGAGAAAGAGAAAGCTTATGTTTTTCTCTTTAAAATTAATTCCCAGTTAGCCATTTGCTAGTGGATTATATTTAAGCCCAGAAGACATTATAATTTCATTTTTCTTTTCAGGGATTGTAACAGATAATACAGTGACTAGACAATGGTAGGCATGTAAAGAATAACCTGGTTTTCTAGACAGACCCACTTGTCCAAGATCAAACAGCTACAGCACATTTAGGGTTACAGTTTCCTTCCTTTCCTCCTTATTCTCAACCGCAGTGGAGCCTTTTCCAACGTTGCCATGGTAACACTATATCTGGCTGCTAGCTCTGTCGTAAGTTATTGAACTGAGACTGGCTTTTGGTTTAGCAGATAATTAGGTTCTGTCTCACAGGTTCATTTTCCTGTGACTGGGACGTGAATATGACCTACAGCTGGCCTCAATTTCAGTGTCACAGACAAAACTTTAACCCTTCCCAAGCTCCTAAGCCTTGCTTATAAGGTGGAAGTCCAGTGCAGCTCACTCACACCTTGGAGAGGATTCCCAAGTTATTTTATTTTTCATCTTCGTTATAACACTGAGGACACTATGGGCAAGGTTGTGCACTTGGGGCATTTTCAAAATTAAAAATATATCAACAATATGGTATGTATACTTATATATTTTATATATAATATGTAATGGTTATTATTTCCCTGCTTCTTTAATAATTTTTTAGTTACATTAAAGTGTCTTGTGTTACAATTTGGGTTCTACAGTATTTAGATTTCAAAACCCCCATTCTCAGGAATATCGGCTCGGTATACTTATTCTCAGCTTCAAGAACTGTCTGCCAGTTGACTCATGCACCTCCCTTTCCTTTTCATAAATCCTAGATTTTAGCTGATATCGAAAGGATTCCTTTCCATCTAGGTTCCTTGGGAGTCACAGGCAGGTCCATATTATAGAGAACAATGTCACCACTCTACTAAAATGCCCAAATGTTCACTCAGGGCTTGAATCTTGCTGGTTTGGAAAAAACAGCAAAGATCTGCTCTTTGTTTGGGACAAAGAAAAAAAGTGTAACTTTTGAAACAGATATTGAATTCACAATACCCGTGGCAACACAGAGAGCTGTGGGGTTAATATGAGAGGATATGTCTTTTGATGTCAAACAATACAAAAGATGAAGGGAATCTGTGAAAATTTTATTGTATTTCACCTAAAACCTTACTATGAAAAGATAAGAAAGGAAGAAGGGATAGTTGAGACCACCATAATGAAAACATGAATTAAATTCCATAGCTTAATTGGCTGGAAAATCACATATCTATGTCAATAGAAATAGGGCAGATTTGTAAAAGGAAAGTCTTAGAAGATTCAATAGTTTTACATTGGAACTAGAATGTGTGTGTGTGTGTGTGTGTGTGTGTGTGTGTGTGTGTGCGCGCGCGCACACACGCACGTGGATACCACATAGACTATATTCTATTTTCATTCTCAAACTCTAGAGAAAAACATCTTAAATGGCAGCAGCCTCGCAGTCCTGAGTGAAAGCAGCCAGAGGGCCCAGAGGCATCCCATGGATGCAGAGAACTTACTGGAGGGGTTATGGTCAGAGTTGGGGGAGTTTTATTAAGTAAGAGAGAACTCAGATGTGAGGAACCCAGTCGTTGCTAGTTATTCAGTAAACTAAGCTGCTTTTAACCTCTAATCTCTCCATGGAAATCTTTAGTAAAAGGCAAAAGATTTGTGCAATCTGAAGAAAAACCAGAGCATTTTTAACCTCGATTCTCAAGTTCATAGCACCCGTTCTCTTATTAATGGTCAATGTGTTTGTTGAATGAATATATGAATTCTTCCCTACTCTCTCTTCTAGGTAGTAAGAACTAAATTAGCACAGTTATAAAGAGAATTTAGGAAGTCTAAAAACATTTAAATCCACAATCCTTTAACTGTCTATTCATGGTTCCCAGCACCCCGAAAGTCCTATACACGCACGTCATCTCTTGCCAGCATTTTTGAGAGAACCACATAACTAGTCTTCTCTCCTCTAACTACCCACTGTAGTCTTTACCGGGGACAGGAGATTGGGCACTAGTCTAAATGCAAGTCGACTAAAGTCACCACTCTCCTCACCACTTCCCCAGTGGTTTTCCATGTAATTAGAATAACAAAACCCTGACTGTGCTTATAAATCCATATGACCTTGCCCCTGCCTACCTTGCGGACATCATCAGTCTCTTCTTTACACTTTCTACCTTGCCTTCCTTGGCCAGCAGAGCACATGCCCTCTGGAGAGCCTTTGCTGTTCCCTCTGCCAGGAATGCATGGCTCACACCTTTACTTTATCTGTTCTTGCAACTGGTTCTCTATGGGGTAAAAAAGACACTTAATAATTTCTGTAGTAAATTATCCCATTGTGGCCATTTAAAACTACCAATATGTTGTTGCTTAATGTGGATGGGAAAGATGGGCATAATAGTATCCTGAATCAGTGTGGGATGGCTCCAGCCCACAGCTGACACGTATTTAAAAGCTGCATTAACTTTGATCACTGCCACTGCAAAGTCTCAAGGAAAGAAAAAACAACTGACTGGATGATCTCTTGAAATGACAAAAATAATGAAAAGTAGACAAACATAATGCTGAAGATAAAGCCCTTAGCTCAGTGTCTGATTGAAATACATACTCAGTTAAACAGTAGCTATTTCCTTCTTAGTTTGTTATTATCAGCACTAAACTTAAATGTTTAGCTACAAATTCAATTCATGTCTTTGTGTTAATAAGGCCCTTAACATTGAAGCAACAAAGATAAAAGAATTTTATGTAACTATTCATAACTCTGCCCAGCTCAAGGTTAAGATAGCAACGGCATACACCGATCAGAATAAAAGATGTGTCCCCTTGACTGCAGCTCTTTATAACACTTCACGAGAGTCAAGTTGTGTTGCTTTCGTTCAGTGTTAAACAGAATACATTTTAAGAGCATAGTTCAATTATTGATTGAATAGTGGGTTCAATTTAACTATAATCCAATTACGCTCCAACAAGTTCGAGACCAGGGATGAGCCAACAAAAAGGTAAAGGTTTCACTCAAGTTTCAAGGCAGATGGATTGAATTAATAACATGGATGCCTTATTATTTGGCCACAAACAGTACAGTTCAGCCCCAGTTGGACAAAACTAGTGAAATAACAGGCAAAATATTGGCAATGATTTGAGTAACCAGGCACCAAAATGGACATCAGTCTGAAAGAAATTAGTGAAAAAAAAAAATATATGGGCCCTGAAAGACTAATACACAGCTTAGGTATAAATAATCTACATTAGAAGAAAAAGCTAATATCTGTTGTTTTAAATGCTATAAAAGTACTTTTTGTATCATTTACCCTCAGTCTCCTCCACTCATTTCTTTCAGTATATAAAGTTTTCTGTACTTCAGTAAAAGGTTCAACTGAGTGTTTGGTCTGTGAAATAAGGTAAGAAAGAGACTATTCCTTTTACCCTTCTAGCTAATCTTAATCTTTTTCTCTATGCTCCTAGAGAAAAAGCACATAATTCAAATATATTGGTTTTGTAGCAGTGATCCTGTTCTGCTTCTTAAGGGCCATCTTTCTTAGAAGGCTCACTTCCACAGTGGATTCCATCTGCCCAAACCCTGGTCAGAATCTCCCCCAACTCCCAAATATTACTCAATGAGATGAATTTTCTATTTTAATGAATTCTTCCAGATGTATTTTTGCTACTTTTTCTTTTAGTTTTCTACCTATATTAATATGAATGAAAATATATTTTAGATCATCAGATTTCTTTTTAAAAACTTTTATGAAAAATTCCAAATATATTCCAAAAATTAACATCATCACATGTAAAGTTTTAACTATTCAACTTTTTTTTTTTTTGTGGGGAGGGAGAGAATTGACATCTTTTTTTCCCAGTTATATTGAGATGTAGTTGACATATAACATCGTGTAATATATTATGAAATGATTACCACAATAAGGTTAGTTAACACATTCATCATCTTTTTTTTTAATGGTGAGAACATTTAAGCTCTAATCTCTTAGCAGCTTTCAGATATACAATACAGTATTGTTAACTACAGTCACCATGCTGTACATTAGATCCCCCGAACTTATTCATCTTGTAACTGGCACTTTGTACCTTTTGACCACCATCACTCATTGTGCCCATTCTCGAGCCCTAGCAGCAACCAACCTACAACTTATTTCTATAAGTATGGTTTTCATAGATTCCACATATAGTAAGATCCTACAATATTTGTTTTTCTCTATCTGACTTATTTAACTTAATATAATGCCCTTAACTTTTATGCATGTTGTCACAAATGGATTTACTTCTTTTTTATGACTGAATATTTCATTGTGTGTATGTATATCACATTTTCTTTGTCCATTCATCCGTTGGCAGACACTGAAGTTGTTTCCATATCTTGTCTTTTAGATAATGCTGCAGTGAACATGGGGTACAGATATCTCTTTGCAATAATGATTTCCTTTCCTTTGCATATATATCCAACTATTCAACCATTACTAATTTTTGGCCAATCTCTTTTCATCCATACTTATCATATTCACTCATTCACTTCCTAGTGTATTTTAAGCAAGGCCATGCATTATATAATACACATGCATCTATAAATATTTCAGTATTTATCTCTAGAGTACTTTTTTTAACCACAGTAGCATTATTACTCCTACAAATATTTACAGTAATTCCTTAATATCAAATATTTCATAAATGTATACATTTTCCTAGTTGTGTCATTTTTTATAGTTAATTTGCTTAAATTAAGATTCAAACATAGCCATATGTTTCTAAAGTCTCTTTCAAGCTGTAGGTTTCCTCCTCTTTTAGTTCTTTGTGATTTATTTGTTGATGAAACTGAGTCAGTTTTCTTTTAGTGCCTTTTTCATTCTGGGTTTTGCCGATTGCATCCCTGCAGCGTCATTAGCAATGTTGTTCTTTACTGATATTTCTTGTAAACAGAGAACTAGACTGAAGGTTCTCTTCTTTTTTTGTTTTAGCAAGGTTCATTCATAAATGGTATCATGTACCTCCCACCAGGAAGCACATAGAAAATCTAGCTTCATTGTGGTTGAGTGGGGGAAGATTTGTGATTTTATAATTACTGTTGACCCTTGAACGACATGGGGTTTAAGGGTGCTGAGCCCTACGCAATTGAAAATTCGTGTATAACTTTTGACTCCCTAAAAACTTAACTAGAGCCATCCCTCAGTGTTCATGGATGATGCGTTCCAGGATGCCTGTGGATACCAAACTCTGAAGATGCTCAAGTCCATTATGTGATATGGCATAGAACAGTGCATGCAGTCAGCCCTCCACATTGTTAGATTCCCAGTTGTGAATTGAAAATGCTGTTTTCTATATGCAGTTTGTTGAATCCGAGATGCAGAACCCCAAACCCAAGGATACACAGGGCCAACTCTATATTTATTGAAAAAAAATCCACATATAAGTGGACCCATGCATTTCAGACCTGTGTGGTTCAAGGGTCAGCTGCATATATTATGGTTGCATCATCTGGTAATCAACTATTTCAAACCTGTGTTAGAATTTAACATGTCATTATTTCATAATATTTCAAAAAGAGCACCTTAATCCTCAGTGATTCCACCAGCTGAGCAAGTTTGAGCACCATTATTCTAGTGAATGTCAAACTCTAGATTATTTCACTCATACTGAAATTGAATTAAATTGTGGAGAAATTCCTGGAGAAGTAGCTTTGAACAAACATAAGTTTCTATGGAGACCTTCTCCAATCTAAAATAATCCTAGGTTTTTCTCAGGGAAAAAAAAAATGAGTAATGTTCTGTTAGTAAAATTATGTTGTGGTGACTTTTAACCTTACAAGAACTTTAGAGAAAACCAGTATACACTAGGTAATAGGGACAACTGAAAGTATCAGAACTATCTTGTGGTAGAGCATGTGAACCATTCCAGTCTACTCCAAGGAGCTGGTGCATCCCTGTCACTATCCTGGGATGCAGAGTTGAGATAATATAAATGCATGATATGAAATGTCAATTGTCTTTTAAAATCAGAAGTATGTGTGTATTCTTGGGAATGGAAATAAAAGTGATTGTTTATGAACTTTCAGAAATTTATGGCTTTATAAATGGCCACCTCTATGGTTGTGCTTTTGATTCTTATTTGTAAGAAACTGGAAAATTAAAGATTTTTAATTTATAGTTAGCTCATTTTGACAAAACTCTAATCTCATATTCCTCACCAGATGTAAAGAAGATATATCTTTCTGCTCTATATATTTATTGGAGATAAATTATAGTTAGTTTTCAATTTATATATAGAGAGATGCTTTTGGTTTAAATCTATGGTATCATGTATAAAAATACTCCAATTATTCAATAATACATCACTAAAATTAGACCCATATCCTATTTTGAAACTGTTGGAAGATATCTTACTTAGACTCTGATAACTCTTCAAGTTCTCAGGTTCCCTGAATCTCTTTTCATTCTACATGAAGAATTGGAGAAGTTTTTCAGGAAGTTACATAAATCTACAAAATGAAATGTGGGAGTCTATGACCCACTTCTTATACTTCTATTCTTCCTACTCCTTTTGCCCTCAAAGTTACGATATAGACATATTGCTTTGTTATATCATTGTTATGAATATTTTTAAAGAATTTTGTTTTAATTAAGCTCCTTAATTTAATACATGATTTTAAAATTATTATTTCATATAAGATCTTGTCACAGTCAGGAACT